CCCGCCGCCAGCCAAGCTCCCACCTCCGGCCGCCCCCTTGCCAACGCCCATCGCCATCCGGCCGTTCCCCCATCTCCACCAATTTCCAATTCGAAATTTGAAATTCAACTTTTGAATTATTTCCTAATTTGGAATTCCAAATTAGGAAAGTTTTCATGATTTATTCAATTTCAAATTATGATAATTTGGGAGTTTTAAATTCTTTTCCACGTCATCAAATCAAGTTGGAAACCCCCTTTCCTCTCTCCCTATTCCTTTTCCCTCTAGCAATGCCGCCGGCCCCCTATCTTGCTCCCCTCATTAATTGGGCAATTAACTCCTTCATTTGATTTGAAATCCAAATCAATTGCAAGCAAATTTTCCCTCCAATTGTAATAAAACTGAAAATAATTTCAGTTTTAAAACTCCAATTCCCCTCTCTCTCCCATCGCCGGTTTTCCCCTTGGCCTCCCCATATTGGATTTTCAATTAATGCCTTAAATACACTTAATGGAAATTCAAATCACAAATAATTTTCCCTCCTAAACCCTAAAACTGAAATCAATTTCAGTTTTCTAAACCCAACTCCCCTTTCTCACCCTAACTCCACCGCCGGCCTCCCCTCCTCTCTACACCCGCCGACTTCCCCTCTTCCCCTTTGGGAGAACTTCTCGAGGTGACCATCCATCGTCAAAGTCCATGTCGCATGGAGGATCCAGAGCTAGAGTGGGGGCTTGTGTTTGATGCCCAAGGCAATCTCGACGTACTACGATCGACGTTCTTTGACGCGGGATTTGAATCTGACGAAGACACCGTAGGAGATTACTTGGATCGGATCCTCCCGACCCTCATCCAAGTTATTGATAGACAACGTCCGAACTACAAGTGGACCATCGACGGCCGACCTTCCTCACCACCTCTACATCCGGCGTCTTCCTCTCTTTCCCTACGGATCTCTGGCACTGTCGCCCTCGGAGTGATTTCATCACTTGTGTGGTTATTCTTCTTCCAACAATCCTAGATGTAGATAAATGAGCGTGGTCTCAAGGTGAAACAACCACTTTGTTAACCGTTGGATTTTGTTGACTTTTCATTTGCACCACTATTTGTTGACGTTGCTATTTTATAAACCTTGCTAATTTAGCGGTATTACTTGCCTAGATTTAGTTAAATTCTGAGATCTTTATTGAAGTTTCAATTGAGAAAATCATTAAGAATGAACTTTCACTACTTTAACAAACTTTTATTAATCTTCTAAAATGCAAACTCCTGGTTTCACATCACAATTACACCGAGTTAGTTTGTGAACATATATAGAGAAGTTTTTTAAACTATCAAACAAGCTTGTTCACGAACATATCTAATGAGTATTCATATATCATCGCAAATAGATTTGTCAAGTCAACGCAAAAGATATCTCTATAATCTACCATCAATAGCAAACACAATCTAATTATTCAAAATAGCTTCAAGAACACTTTGTACAAAATTGTCTAACAAAGTGTTACATGATAAATTCACAATAAGAAAATAGAAAGAGATAATCCAAGAAATTGGTCCCAAGTTTATGGAAAAATATCAAATCAAGTGCATTAAAAACTAGATTAACCATATAATCTTTTGGAATTTCTAATTTGTAGGCACTAGTTCCAAAGTGTTCTGCCTTTTTCGCATTTCACTTCTAAAAATTCATGAAGATAGGTCATTCCAAATGTAAATGTTTTTACTTTATCAGTTGGCTTAAACTCCGCATAACTCATGTTTACATCAATAATAGAAAATTATTAGTTGTCATAGTAAGTAGCCAATTTTCTATGAGTGTCTTTTTCTATAAATCTTGCATACGTTGTGCCAAAGCATTAGGCCGAGCTTCAATAGGAAGCTCAACAAGAACTATAAGCTTTCTAGGTTAAAATCCTATGTTAATCTCATATTGTTACATGTCAATAGACCTATTCATAAATGAATTGTATGTAAACTTAATCATAAGAACTATCAAATTTCAATCAGATGCATGGCATTTTAACAAACATAGCAAATAACTCAAACTCCTATTAACTACCTCAATTTGTCCATTATTTTGGGGGTTATAAGTAATCAATATTTAAGTTGAGCTCCCTTTTTTCAAGTTTTTTCTGAAAAAACTTCTCACTAAGAAATAAAATTTTAAGCAACCATGCAATTTAGCTACATCATTAAAATATAATTTTGTGACATGAGAAACATCATTGATTTTATGACATTTTATGAAGTCAGTCCTTTTTTAAAAGCAATCTATCAATAAAAAATATAACTATGCTTCATCAACCTTCATGGTGAACATAATAAAATCTATATTAACATTCTTCATGGATTATATGATTGGCAAAGGGGTATACAAGCCTATGTTATGTTTCTTACCCTTCGTAGTCTGACAAATCCTGCACTATACAATATGTGTCACATCTCTTTTTTAACTTGGCAAGTAATAACTATCTTAAGTCATTGTTTTGGCTTATATCTCTTAAAATGTCCAGCAACACGTTTAGCATCTAGTTCTAAAATCAAAAGGTCCCTAAAAGATGAAACAAAAAAATAAAGAAGAGTACCCTTAAATAAATAAGGGTCTTTAAGCATATAATCTTTGTCAAGCATCGATTAATTATTTCTAAATCTCAATAAATCTAGCATACTCCACATTTAAATGATCAAAATCAATCACCTAACCTGCATTGTTTGTCAAATGACAACTCCACTTAAAATATCGACAAGTTTATTATGTGCCAATATGATTTTTAAAGACCGAAGTGTACTTTTGCAAAAATTCGACTCGCTTGTCTATATCACATTATTTTGATGACTCAAATATATCAAAGTTTAATGGTCAAGGTAAATTGCAAACTCTTTAAGCAACAACTATAGACTCGAGTAATGAATAGCTTTCACAACAACATAATATTTTCTATCATAGTTTTAATATTTATCTTTAGCTTGATCAAAATTTCTCACTATAATGCAATGGGATGGCCCTTTGGCTTTATGCATCACAAAAAACCTCAAATAATTAACTAAATTCAGAAAACTTAAGCACAAGTGTATTGACAAGTCTCTCTTCAATCACAATAAAGGTTGGGCCATCATCAGACAACAAACTCTACAAAATAAATATACCACAAATAGTGTCACACAACGATATTCCTCGTATTCAATTATAATTTCTTAGCTTGCAGAACATCAAATATTTTTATATGATGTACTATATAATTGTTTCGTGTCTTGTTATAAATTAATAAATTATAAAAATAACAAGAAATTTTCCAATAAAGGGTTTTAAGACATGATTAATTATCCTCATGAAAGAATTGTATGCACTGATTAATCAAAAATACATCATAAATCATTCATATAATTCATATTTTATAGTAAAAGCTGTTTTTCAATCATCACATTCTCTAATTCTCACTTGAAATAGTCCCTCTTCAAATCAATCTTAGAAGAGATCAGAACAACATTCATCAACTTTAGCATATCATCCAAACGATATATTATAAATCTATTTAATGGTGACTTTATTGATGACCCATTATCACAACAAATACACAAACTTCCATTCTTCTTAAGTGCAATTAAAATTGAAACACACAAGAACTCTTATTCTCTCATAAATCCCTTTTCAATATAAATTATTAACTAGCCTCTTTCATGTTTAGTTAGATTCATTCTATAATGGTATTGATAATTCATTAGGAAGTTCATCAAAGGAAAATATCACGAAAATCAAATAGTGCTTGTTCAATGTCATTATGAAAAATCACAATCTCAAGTAAAATATAATTCAACCCAATAAAACAACATCTTCTAACCTCCTTTCATTTCATACCAAGGGGCAATAGGATCCCTTTCTAACCTTTCTTTTTACATCTCATACTCATCTAATATATTTTAGTTTGCTCCGTTAATTTAGATTTTGCAAATCTCACTAGTATGTTATTAGATATAACTTACCAGCCAAAGGAATTGTCCAAATCCCTTAAAAAGTCATAGAACTTTAGGATCAATTTTACATTCAAAAGCAGACCCTTCAATTTTAAATTATTAATCTTTTTTACTATCTCATTATCTAATTCAAAATTTTCATCCATAAACCTCATTACCTATCATGATTATTTCCTTGACTCCTTACCATCACAGACATTCAGTTAAATTAATCTAGCATTATGATTGTAATTCACTTCAAGTTCGCATACATAAATGTGAATGGTTCCCAAATTTTAAAATTGTGCTTTAACCATATTACTTAATGATATCACGCAGTTGATTTTGCATTTTTTTTAATAACAAAGCCAATTAATTTTACAAAGTGCTCAAAATTGCATCCATTGATGACTTGATTGAGTTCCACTCTAAATGACATATTGACAAAACCTAAAGCTCTGCTATTACTTTAAATTTTTAAAAAAATAATAATAATAATGATCAATTTTGCTAATTTGCTCATCTCAATACACAAGAACTGTGTTTCTGACAAGTGTAGAGTTGTAAATCTCATCAATATAATACAACTTACAGAAACACGTCACATCATTAGGCTTAAAACAACTATTATAAGCTGAATTTATCAGTCCAACTTGGCCAATATTCATGAATTAATGTTAACAAGTATATTTAAAAAAAGGACACTTGACAACAGCAAAAGCACATATTCCCACAAAGAGAGAGGAGCACCGACTGAGAGTCTATTAGTTCCTATTAAGAGATTGAAAACAACATCAACAACAAACTTTCAGTACACTATTCTCAACAACAAACTTTTAGTACACTATTCTCAGAATAAAATGGTGCTTTCGAATTTCTATGAAATTTTGATCATTGGAATTAATCAAGTTAAAGACAAGTTCGTTCTTCTGTTTCCTTAGATTTAAAATATGAGCTTAAACTGGTACAGTTAAATAAAAATAATATAGCAATGGTCTGAAAAGTTGAAGAGAATAACTAGAGGCACACTACGTAGTGGATATCATATGTTTGCTCTTGACACTCACAGAAAAAAGGGGTTTAGAAGCCCTGTCATATGGATGCAGAGACTTCACATCTTGCAGCAAAGGCTGAAAATTTCCCACCTGAGAAAAGCCCATCTACATTAACAAGTTGCTCATAGCAATATCATAATTTCTCCATTAAATCTATCTACAAATGTATTGAGTTTGTTGCTAAGAGGATAACATATACTATCAGAAAACACACCTCTGATGGCTTCCCGACAAAGTATCCATTTGGTAAAAGGTTCAATGTGAAAGACACGTCATGCTCTGTCAAATTGAACAAAATAAAGTATGATTAAATATACATAACTGTTGGAGATGTATCAAATGAGATAGGCAAAGAGTGCAATACAGACCTGACAATTCTGATGCCTTAGAACCAACAAGGTCATTTGCAGCTTCTGTAATATCTGCCTACACAAACAAACATCACAAAACTCATAAATGTGTGTTCTCTATATGGGGTACTGATCCATGATTATCATCACAAAAAACTATAAAAACGATAATTTCACTTTCCATAGATGAAAATAAGCCAAAAGAGCAGCTTTATTGTTAGCCATAATGCAACACTATGAAGGATCACAAGGAAAAATAGCATTTAACAGTTCAATCTTAGAATTGGAAACGATGAGAAATAATGTTATGTTAATAGCCAGTCATAAATCCCGTGCCAAAACCCACAAATGAAAACTCACTGTTTCTTGGTATTAGCACCTTTCTCGAAATGATTTACCATAAGCTAGCATAATTATTCTAATAGACAAGTGGACAAATGTAGCTCAGGTTGTCACCCGTAGGTGGCAGCACAACTTAACCCGATTTTAAAATGTCACCAACAAAAGAGGCAGAAAAGTCTAACAAAATTGTGATGAAAAATGGGCAAGGGTTGACTAATTCTCAAATCTTAACTAGATTTGAATATCGAATTTCAGAACATTGAATGGAAAGGCTACAGAACAAGTGTATTCAAAGAGTAAAAAAAGAATAAAAAACACATGTTTATTATAAACTAAAAAAATGGGTAAAATTGGATAATGAAGAAGATTATAAACTATTTTATGTTAAGAAACTTGGCAATAGAAATAGAGTAAGTGAATAGAGAGTTGAAAGATAAAACTACAGAAATGAATATCATGAATGTGGGTAATCTTTATGCTCTTTAAACTATATTAGAAGAAATTTAAAAAAAAAAATGAAGAAATTGAAGGACTACAATGGCATGCACCTAAGAAAGGTATGATTAGGGCTTCAAATCAACCGACTATTAGACACAAGCTACACATGGCTAGGTTTGATTACGATTCGTTCATGATCTTTTGTTTAAGTAATCAAACAAGTTTGAATAATTTTTAAAATACTCGAATGGTAAATAAACAAGCTTGAACAAATATATGTTTGGCTTGTTTCTAGTATGTCTTACTATAAATCTTTATTCGGTATATTTTCATATAATTTTTTATTTTATTATAAAAAATTTATTCTTGTTTTATTAAAAATTAATTTTATTTTTTATGTTATAGAATTTGTTCATGTTTGTTGGATTGTTTGTTTAAAGTGTTCATGAACAAACTATTTTATAAGAAAATCATTTCTGAGTTCATTTATTTGTGAATGGGCTCCATTGATAGCTAGAAAACACATGCTAGATATATTAATGGGCTCTTTTGGTAGCTCGAAAACACTCATTATATATGCTCGAGAATAGGATAAAGGTAAATGTTTGTTAGTAGGCTTAATAAGACTCATTTGTTTAAAGATAAGCATGAAATAAGCCAAATGTAAATGTTTATCATTTTAAACGAACCAAACTTGAACACAAACAAGAAAGCTTGAATCGAGTTCTAACCAAACTTGAACAAGCCAACAATAAACGAGCTCAAACATGAACAAACACTCATTCGGCTCAGCTCTATACGTTTCCAACTCGAGGTATGATAATTATTGGTGATGACTTAAATGCATGTATAGGCTCTAGTAGTTTAAGACTTGATGGAGGGCTTTTGCAGCTTCCCATATAGCTCCAAGACTATAACATAGAATGGGATTGTAGCTTGCAGGTTATGTGTCATTCTTTTACTGTTGAATCTTGAAGAAAAAGGATTGTAGCATGTGGTAGTTTCTAAAGAATAAGGACACTGATGGTAAGAGACTTCTTTATGGGCCCTCTACCTCTATTAGTGACTAGCATCTTTGTAACTCTTTCGTTGAAGACATCTTCAACTTGCTTACAATACTTTTGTTAGCAACTTTCTAATAGGTTTTTTCATTTAATAATCCCTTGGCATGTGTTTTTTATAAATATAATATGATTTTACTTTGTGATCATGGTATTACCTTTATTCAGAATATTCACTAAATTGATAGACTACTTCAACACATACTTAAGAAATAATTAATAATTATTGGTAGTGATTTAAATACGTGTAAAGACTATAATAGTTAACATTGAATTAAGACTTTTTGAGGCTCCCTCGAAATCTTTGGGACTATATCATAAAACAGGATTGTAGCTAGAGGCTTTTTCTAAAATTCTTCCCGAAGAAATGAACTTGTAGTTTGTGGAGGTTCCTGAAGGAGTGAGGCCATAGTATTAGGATGATTCTATGATTCTATTATTTGTGACTGACTTCCTTGTGATCGTTCTATTGAAAACTTCAATTACAACTCTTCTATAGCATAGAACGAGTTTGTAATTTGCAACCTCTTTGCAGTTTTTCTGTTACTGAATTCCAAAGAAGCTAACCTATAGCTTACAAAGGTTCCGTTAAGTCGCCTTTTATTATACATTTTCACATAAGTGTAATATGATTTTGTTTTATTGTCATAAATAAGTGTGTAAAAGATGTAAAGAGACGAGACCATATTTAGTAAAATTGTACTTTGTATGTGAAAATTCTTCTAATTTTAGAATTTAGTTTCTTGATCAAGTGTAAGACCTAAAAATTCTACGAGAGATTATCTCCTTATAAGTATAAATCTAACTTTATGCTTATTCTTCTTTTTCTTTTGTCTATTCTTATTCTTCTACTAGTTATTTTATTATTTGTTGAAAGTGCAATTGCCTTGGGTCATAGCTTTTACAGTCAAGATTTCTTTCTTTTGTGCAAGATTTCAATTGTGTGCATGGTTTTCATGTTCATTAAATTTATTGTCATTAATTTCTAGTAAAAGGCCATAATTACTCCACCAATATTGGATTTTTTTTTTTCATTTTTCCATGAAATTAATGAATAATTATTTAGACAAATATCTCATGTCCAATAAATTTGCATGCTATAGCATTGTTTTTATATTGCATGGTAAATCTACATTAGAAATCTCAAATCGTAAAACTTTATCAAATGTAGTACTAGAACTTAAGGTTATATCATAATACCTACAAGTTGTAGCACTTAATATCAAGAATAGACAGATTAACAAAATATGCAATTATTTTACACAACAAATTTAGCTATGATTCTAAATAATTATTTTACATTATAACAATTATATAGCTAAAATAATATTTCAACATTTGATGGAGGCATAATCTTGTGGTATTTTCAAAATGGATAGAATTAGAAAACTTATTTGAAAGATATAATATTTAAGATTCCCAAAGGGTTGAATTTGCTAAAACAAAATCAGCAAAAAAATTTCAAATATTTTGGTGAATTGTTACTTTTAAAAAAAAACTTCTTGAGTCAATATTAAACATAAACTAAAAGAATAATATTTTCTCTTCTTGTATCATAAAAATCAACAGCCTCATTGACTTGACATCTTTGAACAAGTTAATCATAGGGCATTTAAATATTTTCTTGTGTTTGAAAATCTTGTAGCTACAACAGTTGCCTGGAGATTATTATGTTATCAATATTTCTTTTCTTAACAGTCTTAAAAAAGAAATAAGTATGTATTACACTATAATTCTTCAAAGATAATAGATGAGGCTTACTGCAGAGTTCTAGGGGCCTTTTGGCGAAAAGATTTCCGTAGCATTTAGGCAAGATTTAGATAGGTTGTTCAGTGGTAAGATTTATGCATGAATCATGCAAATTGCCCCAAAAAATACAACCAATCATTGTAAATCTTACAGATTCTTAAATCTTGTTTCCCTTTTGTTTTGACTTAAATCCCAGAATTAGTAAATCTTGGCATTGAACAAATTCGACAAATCTATAAGCTTCATGAACTCTTCTTTTTTAAATGCCACTACACCCATCGATGCCTTCTCTAATTTTTAAATTTGGGGGACTTCCTAGCTTAATCTTTAAGCTAACATTGTGACTTCCTAGCTTCTTGGCCATTGAGGATTTTTAAATTTGGGGGAGAAAGATGAGAGTATCATTTATATTAGTTAAAAATAATTAAATTAAATATATTAATTAAATTTTTAACTACAAAAATAAATTTGATAAAAAAAAAACTTCATCAAATAAAACTAGTAATTTTCAATCAAATAAATTATATAAATACACCTGTGTTAAGTAAGCAGTTAATTTAATCTTAATAATTAATATTAGTTAATTAAAATTTAATTATCTTAAGATATCAAATTAATTTTTCTTTAATTTTCCTAAATATAAGTCACTATTTAATAAACTTAATAAATCACTAATGAATTATTGGCTGAGATATTTAATCAGATTAAATATTACTTAATTTGTCTACTTAAAGTTATTATAAGTAATGTAAATATAATAAAATGTTCTAGTAATATAAATCTTTCAATCCCAAAACAAGTAGTAGAGCAGTTCACTTGAATTTACCAGGATTTAACACTTATCATATCAATGGCTTTTCAAGATTTAAACCACATAAGATTTAGTAAATTCAAATTTACATGATTACTAAATCCTAATTAAAACACTGTCGTTGTCAGGTCCCAAGCCCTGGATGAGAAAAGTGGATGGTTGCATTAAGTAGTCGACAGTCAGCATAACATTTGTCAAATAATCATGACAAGAATCCTTTTAACATGACATAATGGAGAAAAATGATTCATGTAGCCGACCCCGCGTAGTGGGACAAAGGCTTGATGTTGTTGTTGTTGTACCAAATCCTACTTGAGTTAAATCCCACTTGTAGCCAAATAGCCCCCAAAGTTCGAAAAATATTACAATTATCCTCTTATCATAACTACCACAACTTTGCATAAAATTTTTAAAGGAAATTCTTTTAAACTCAATCTAAAGCATGTTAAGAACAAACAAACACCAATATCATGTGCCACATAATTTGAGCCCTATTTAAGAAATTATAATTTATGAATATTCTTTTAGAGGATGAATTAGATGTGAAAAAATATTATCATTATGTGATTCTACATCTATTTGTGTGTATATGAATTTACAAAAAAACCTAAATATATGAATTTGCAACAAGGCCTATGCCTAAATATTCAACAAACTTTACTTTATAAATGATTC